GACTGCTAATATATGTTATTCTCCAGTTAAGTCCAGGAGGCTAAGGGAAATCAGGCTCACTGCTATATGCCTTTGCAATGTCATCTCAACTGCAACAACAACAAAATTCCACAGAGACCTAAAAGTATATAGCTGCCAATAGCTGGATCTTTTTATTGCTAAATTTTCTCTTTCTCCTTTGCTTGTGGCATAGTTTTAAAATTACGTAGTGCAGCTTATGTTTAGAAGAAACCAGATGATATCTCTATATACTGAGGTCAGACCCCAGCAGCCCATCAGTTAGCACTCCACCGCCATGGGCTATGTAGGAGACATTTTAAGTACTTCATTACTCTGGGGCCAGGTTCCCTGGGGCTTCCATCTAACAAAGGCTATTATGGGTGCTTTCCAAAGGTTCAGTTGTTCTAAATCATTGTGATTAAATATAGGCAAGCGTGTAAGGAAGGGAAGCCTGAGATTTTTAGAGGGTACCCTTGAAAACTTCCAGTTCAGGATTGGTAAGTAGATTTTACTTCAATTGTTAGCCTTCGCATACTGATTGCAGCTACCTACAGTGCTGTGTTGGAGACCAACCAAGGGTTCAACAGGAAATAATACCACAGCGAATATTTTGCCTGTTGTTGGCACAAGATTGGGGAGTGGCAGAAAGACTGGGTATTTTCCATCTCTAAGTCTAACAACGCTTTCTTCTTATAGTTGAGACAATTGAACTTCAAATCATTAAACAATAGTCTTAGGATCACACAGCAGTTCACCAGAAAAGCCAAAGTCAGAATCATTCTATCCTGACTTCCTTCCTACGACACCACTGAAAAGACCTAAGCAGCAGGAATGTAATTGAAGTCTACCCTCTACATGGGAGGGGGGGCGGGGATCATGAGTCAGTACTGAAGGGCTACTCGCTGGGAAATGTGTCCTTAGGGGATTTCATCACTGGGTGGGTGTCCTACAGCTCACTGCACACTTGGCTATGTGTGTAGCCTAGTGAGCTCACCTACATACATGTGGCCCAAAGTTGACCCAGCTGTCATTGAGGGATTCAGATTTCTAATGTCTCCATTCATTAATGAAACTGTCATCCAGAAAGATGTTTAAAAAACCTCTCCTCCCTAACACACATACAGCCATTCTTCCTTCAAAGACATGTTTGCTTTGCATTGACTTGGACCTTTTTTTCTCCTGACGCTCTCTTAAAGTTAGAAATTCTGCTATAAAAGTTGCCTCTAGGTATTATTTACTCATCTGTAAATCAGGGAGACTGATACCCAAAGTCTAACCTCTGTGATTAAGTATCTGAAGACCTTTGAGATTTTTAGAAAAAGAATTCAGAAAATTTCATTTGTCATCAATATGCCAATCATAGGTATGGAGATATCAACATATAACATAAAATGTTGTGCACTTGAATTGGGAAAACAGTAGAACCTTTTTCAAAAAAAGTTTTGAAAAAGGTAAAAATGATGCCATTTTGAAGGAATAAGAGCAAGGAGTTAAATTCCAATTCCTTGCAGCAATTATTTTTTTCCCCTTGGGGAAGGACAGTAAGAACTTTTGTGCTGCAATGCCATCTATTTTTTATTGCGCCAATGAGCAAGTACATCTTTCCAAACTGCCACTATTCATCGCTTTTAAATAAGAATAGATGAGTTTGAGAAGATATGAAGATTCATTAGTCCCCGCTCTAAATATTGCAGGTGAAATTATTTCCATCCACTGCAGCCTATTGCAGGCAATAAGAGTCACACAATACCCTTGAAAATTACATGTCCAGAGAGTGTGGACAACTCAGAGGCTACAAGGCACAGGCCCTCTGCTGACTGACCCAGCCTGTCGTGCATGCTGCCAGACAGAGAACAGTACTGGATCTGGTGGGAAAGAGTCCTTTCTATATAGAGAAACTGTCCAAAAAGTTGGGGGTAGGGGAGTTTGGTATTGACATGATGTTTTATTTTATTTTATTTTATTTTATATATTTTTACATCATTTTTCATTTTTGCACAATGTATGCATTTTCATCTTGGTTATATTCCCCATACAATTCCCACCACCCTTGTTTTGACCCTAGTCACTCCCCCCATTCTCCTGCCCCATGAAGTTTTGCAGCCAGGGGAAAGTATTATTAAGCTCCAGTTCCTTCCAGCCTATGAGCAGAGACAGTATCTACCCCAGGAGACAATAACCAAGGTGGTATCTGCTCTTGGGGGAAAGCTGGCAGAAGGAAACGGGACTCTGTGAGCACTCTCTGCGCAGCACTCTGATGGGCGGCTTGCATTACCATACAGAGAGCCACAGCACTCCAGCAGGGTAGACATCATGATCCACGTTTTACAAATGGGGGCACAGAAATGCTGCGGTGCAGTGCCTGGAGAAGTGCAGCACCTGGAGTAGGACGAGAGCTGTTCCTGGACTTTCCTCCAGGCCAAGCCACATGTGTCCTACACCATATCTGGACACCACATCATCTCTCCACAACCTCACTGAGTCTTCTTTCAAAGCAACCAAAACCACTACTCTGGCATTGCCACCTGGTACACCTCCCCTCGCATGCCCAGCCCCAGTGGGACTCCCTAAGTTTCCCGTATATAAGAAGGGCTATTCTTAGATACTGTCATGGGTGGAGTTTTGAGCTTGTCTAAAATGTACATTGAGAATAAGGCAGGACCGGGGAGTGTCTGCCATCCTCATTTACAACATTGATTTTATTTTGCATTTCTACAGGCTTTGTCACTTTTATGACTAATGACAAAACTGTCATGAAACCTCAATCCCCCATAGCATCTAGCCCTGTGCATTGCACTTAGTAGGTATATGCAATGCATGTAAGTATGAGCACATAGTAGGTGCTCAATACTTGTAAGTCACTGACTGACTGAGTGAATGGATAGATAATAGCTCACTGTTGGGGTGTCCTCGGCTGCCAGTGGGTTCCTTCCTTTCTCTCACCTTTCAGCCCCTGAGTCAGATGAAAATGAGACCCTCCCCCCCTTTCCTGATACTCCCTGAGTGCCCTCCAAGGTGGCACCTTCCACTAACTTGCCACATGTAATGAGGGACAGAGACGTGACCCAGCTCAGTATTATATCTAGACCTCCCCTGATCATCCCTCCTTTGTCATACACTTGTTTGTCTGAATGATTCAGTCCTGGCGTCCTGGAATTGGTGTTTATAGTATATATAATATTCCATATACATACATCTCTTGTAGAACATTAGTCTTCAAAATCTCCCCCACAGTCACTCTCATTTTATTGACACAATGCTTTCTGGAGACAGGAAGATGTACCTCGTGAGTCTTATAAAGGTGACTTAATGAAGGTTGCGTGTCTAGTTATGGCAGATACATCCCCATGCTCTTTTTAAGAACCACTGATTTCTTCTTTGAAGGTTGGATGAGTCTGCTTCCACCTTCAGGGCAAAAACTTAGCACCAATGACTCAGTTCCAGTATCACAATGAATGTTAATAAGCTTGAGCACAGCTTCTAAAAGCTCTCTTGTCGGTTTTTAGCTCACTGGCCTTGATGGACTCGTGAAATCATATTTTTTTCTATGAACCCAAAAATGACTGTAGTATTGAATATGTCTTAAAATCCTACCCCACTGAAATCTCAAAAATAGACATTTCCCACCCCCAAAAAAACAGACATTCCCCATCCATTCATGTGTGAGGATTTGGGAAGAGGGAGGTAGCTTAAGAAACATGCGTCAGAGTAGCTTCTAGAAATCTCCCCTCTCAGCTGGGAGTTTATTGCTGAAAAAGGACTGAGAACAATCACAATCGCACAGCAGGGGAAGGGAGCCTAGACAGGTATGTGTTGATGGCCGTGGTGCTCTGTTTTGGGAGGTGAGGATGTTTGTAGGAAGTTATGGTGGATGAAAGGAAGACCCACAGGAGACAGAGAGGACAGGGATTCAAGGATGTGGGATTGTTGGGTCCAGTGGGTCTAAGCCGTTATGTGTACCTGGGGGAATGAAAGGAATCCCCAAAACCTTGCCTTCTGTTTTTTATTTAATTTATTTTAAGTGGTTTTAAATGATTTTCCCCTGTCAAATTCCTTGTGTGTCATAAAGTTCAGCTGAGACAAATTTACCACTTCGTAGCTATGGACACTGGGGAGGTTTTTAATGTCTTGGAGATTCCTATTCCACTTCTTGAAGTGGAGACTTGGACCTGTCACACAGCATTGCGCAGAGGTGACGATGTGATGCTGCATGAAGAGTGTCTAAAACAAGGCTTGGCACAGAGGAGTTGTTTTGTAATTTATTTCCTGGGTCAATTTTCATGGTTTCTATCCCTTCTGCCAGACATACACATGTCCAATAACTATCTTGATCTCCAAAGTTTAGATTTCTTGGAAACACTCTTGTAGTCATGTGTTCAGTGTGGAGACATTAGATACATGATGTATTGGATAGATGACGGATGGGTAGGTGGGTGGGTGGGTGGGTGCATGGGTGGGTGGATGGATGGATGGATGGATGGATGGATGGATGGATGGATGGATGGATGGATGGGTGGGTGGGTGCATGGGTGGATGGATGGATGGATGGATTGATAGATGGGTTGGTAAATGAGTGGGTGAATGGATGGATAGATGGACAGGTGGTTGGACAGCTAATATATGGATGGATGGGTGGAAAGCTGGAGATATAGAGCTAGAGAAAAAATACATTCATGCATGAATGGAAAGGAATATACTGATGGAAAGATGAGAGTGTGGTTCTTGACTCCCCCACACCTCTATGAGACATTACCATTTACTCTCTCTGAGTCCAAAGCCTGAGTAATTGCAAATAATGTTGGACTTAGGAGGTTTCTCTGCAGGTCGTGGTTATTTATATTTCTTTATGGAACTGAGTAATAAATAGCATGACACCCTAGGAAATGGATGATTAAGAAAGAAAAAATTTAAACCCACTCAAATACTATAAATAAAATAAATAACATTTATAAAATAAAAATCAGAGTGCAAAGAGCATTGATTTGCCTCACTCTGTACACTTCAGCCCCCTAATTCTGTTAGGACTGCAATAAATACCTCCTTTCTCACCCCCCACGCCTCTTCTCCCCTGCCCAACATGCCTGTGACCTAAGCCTTGTACTGTGGAAATAAAGGTCAGGCTCACACTGAGTGAATAGGAGAACTTCAGGGTGTAGGTTCTTAGGAGAAAGGCAATGGTGTAATTATGCACACCTCAGGGACAGGAGCTGGAAATGGTCATGGCAAGTTTAAGCAGAATGGGCCCAGCTTTGATGTTGACTTGGGACCAGTGACATCCGTTCACAGGATTCACATCCATTGATGGAACATTTCTTCCCAGCTGGAGACCTGGGGGAAAAGTTTCATTCCTGAACTGCTGGTACAAGAACCCATGTTTAACTATTTTCACACATTTAAGATACTTTGTGCCCCCCCCCCTTATGACTATAATTATACTAATAGGTCAGAAGACCTGCCATGTGCCAAACCCATTTAAGCATGTTCTGTGCAAGCATTCCATTAATTCCATCTCTATGAGGTCAGCAGAAACAGCCATTTCAGAGAAGGCCAGGCACATGGTCCAAGTAGCTTTCCCACATCACACCACTGCTAAGGGGATGCTGAGCTGTCACCCCAAAGCCCTGCTCAACAACTGTGCATGCTTCCTCCAGGTCACAGGTGTGTTTCAACAAAGAAGAGTCCTCTGAGGATTGGAGAATGTCATACATCCAGTATCATTTTTAAATCAATCTCATAGATAAGAAAATAAGATTCCTGGGGCATTATTCACTCAATTTATAGACAACTCTTGAAGTAGACTTATGATATCCTCCTTTGTGCTGGTGATGCATGCTCAGACCACCCCCGCCCCCCTACCATGTCCTTACAGCCCCAAGGATTACTGTCCCAAGGCCTTGACAAACTCCCATGGGCATGGGCTACACATGGGTCATGTCTTTGGAATCACCAGCTGCTTTGTCTTCATTGTTGTAACTAATGTCCCCATCATGTCCTGCCCAGTAGGTGCTCAACAAATATTTTTGGAGTGAATGAGTCCATGTGTCTGTATCTGGCACCTCTGCCCCATGGAGGGTACTTACTAGTACAAATGATCTAGAAACCACTAGCTCAGGCTCTAGCCAGTGGTATCCATGTCTTGAGAGGGGAACTGAGAAGTTGGGTGGTCAGATCTCCCTCAGGAGAGACCACTAGAAAACGCTTACAGTAAGGTGGGATCCTGGATCCTCTTTCAAGGCCTCTGATACAGCAGTTCTTTGGGTTTGATAAAAGACACTGAGATCAACTGGGTGAGAGGGATGTAAGTGTCAGCAGACACCTCAGTGGAGGCGGCGGGTCTTTGCCCAGTCCTGTTCTGAGGCTGCTACAGGCCAAGACTTTCAAACAGAACCAAAGGTAGAATATGAGGTGACTTCATCAAGGACATGAGGACCACCCTGGCCACCAGGATGATTCCACAGACTTGGGGTGTGTTCAAATCTCTGGTGGATCCAGACTGGTGTAGAAGGGTTTGTCCTTCAGGTCAGGTTCTGGTTGACCCACAGGAAATGGTCCTGGTCTGTTTCCAAGGGCATGACCCCAGGTGGGATTCACTCTTTGCTCATTAGAATGAAAATAAAGTCACTGGTTTGGCATCCTGGGTCTGACCTTGGGCTTTGTGGGGGGAGGTGCTAAGAGGCAGGGGAAGCTTTCTATTCAGAGCCCTTGGGTCCGTCTCATGGGGGATGATTTGGGCTTTTAAGTAATCCCCTCTTGCTCTGAGAAGTAGCTAAGAATTCCCAGTGGACCCATCCTGATCCCAAGATGGGATAAGTGAGATCCCCAAAGGGAGCAAAATCTGTATTGTGTCATTTGAAAATGATTCTTGAATCTTGGACAATTTGCTGACGTTAAGAATTTTTTTTTCCTAAATTGGATTATACAAGCAGAGCTCATTTCTGCCTCCTCATAAAAGCATTTGTTTCCCAACTACAGGTCACTAAGATGGGAGGTGGGGGTGAGAATGGACAGAGAGCAGATTTGATTCAGAGAATGTTCCTAGGATTTAACAGTAAGGAGACTTCGATCACAGAGGGTTGTGCTCAGCTCCTGGCTAGCAAGACCATTCTGAGTCAACAACATACCTGTCCTCTGTCGTCTGACTTCCCACACAGCTTTGCACCACCTCTTGTGCCTTGGAAACCTTCCCTTACAAAACAAAGCCTGATGCCTACCTCAGACACCCAACTGAGCAGCAAAGAGCAGCCGTGCCTGCTGAAACTTCAAATCTCTCAAAAATGGGAAGTATAGCAGAGAAGCGTCATAGCCGTGTCTCGAATACGCACACAGAGTCAGCCTTTGGAGTGCCAGCTAGAAATAAATCAAAAGCAGGAGCGTTTCCCTTGACCGGAGATGACAGGTTGCCTGGAGCTGGATAAAGGCAAGTTCCTGAGTCTAAAGTGCACGTAAGATCCAATTGCACGTTGGCTGACCACAGGACAGGACTGGATTCACTTACTGCTAATTAGACTGAATAAAAAGAGACACTGTGAGATGTGACGCTTGGGCTTATGGGTAATGAAAGCTCCTTGATGGGAGGAAACCAATTTTTTCTGTATCTGGTCCTGTATTTATGTCCTGAAATTTGTGTGGTGAGATCCAAAGATATTTCCGATAGAACTAAACTCTGGAAAATTTAATCAGGAAGGGTCCAAGCTGAGAAGAGTGAATGGGTTTGGCTCTCTATACAAAATGGACTTTCTCAAAATATTAAAACAGATCTCCCATGTTATCCAGTAATTCCACCCCTAAGTATCTACATGAGGAATGCAAAAACACAAATTCTAAGAAATACAGACACTCCTATTTCATTGTAGCAATGTTGGCAATAGCCACGTTATGGGAACCATCTAAGAACCCAAGGCCAGATGAGTGGATAAAGAATGAGTAGCATAAACACAAAGGAATACCTCTTGGCCACAAATAAAGATGAAAGGTTGCCATTTGTGATAACACAGATGTAATTGGAGGGGATGACGATAAGCAAGATAAGTCAGGAGGAGAAAGACAAATACAAGATGATTTCACTCACATGTGGAATATAAAAAGCAAAGAAAAGGGGAACTGAAACAAGTCCTTGAAACCTGACTGCAGAATTGAGGCTACCAGAAAGTGGGGGGGACAAAATGGGGAGGGGGTTTCTGGGGCTTTGGTGGTAAGGGTGATGTAATAACATCCCCTTGCAGAGGGGTGAATTTACACTTCTGAAATACATGCAGGGCTGTAAATCACCATTCCCTCAATAAACATAATTTGAAAAAATAAATGTTCTGGTGGGGGTAGGAGAGGAGGGATTAGGGTCAAAATAAGGGGGGGTGCAATTGTATGGGGAATAGAACCAAAATGAAAATGCATACATCGTGCAAAAACAAAAAAATGATGTAAGAATTATATAAAATATATTATAATAAAAAAAAGAATAACCAAAAAAATAGATTTTCTGTCTGTCTAGGGAAGGACGTTTTTCCTTCTGTTCCAAGTGATAAAATACACATCACTGAGCAGCACTCTGGACACTGTCAACTGGGGCTGGTGAGACGCCAGATAACCCACTTGATTACTGATGATTTTATTTGTGCCTCCCCATGCTGGCTTCTCTTTCTTAGGGTGAGATCACTCTTCCTTGACTCTATTTAGAAAAGAAATGAACTGTGAGGCTCATGCAAGCTGGGAGTGATGTCGGGAGGTGCAAAGCCAAACCAGAGAGACAAAATGCAGGTTAATAACATAAAGGAATCTTTTGAGGGACTTCTCGCTCCGCAATGTTGGAACACCCCTTTGCCCTGCCACTTTCTGGCCAGGGGTGAGATGGGAAAGTTATTTTAATTTTAACTCTATTTAGGGGACTGGAGTGTTCCAAAGAGGAGGGTTTTGGTGAGCGTTTTAAACAATTGATTCCAGATGGATTCTCTTTGTACCATTTTTGGAATTGTTTTCTCTAAACGAGTTCTAAAGATAGAACGAACATGTTCAGAAAAGATTGAAGGATGAAGAAATATCAAGCAACTAAGGAGAGCAAACTTGCTGCCTTAGGTGTCACTTGGGGTACGTGGCCTCGATTCTTGTTTTTCCCCTTGGTGCTTTCATGAAACAATAACCCTGGCAGGACAGAGCTCCCAGGAGGAATCTGCAGCAAGAACTGTCCATGCTCAGGTGCACATATTGAGGATATCTGGCTGTAAATGAATTACTTCCAATTAGTTTTAGGAGGAATTACAGGAAGTCGTGGGTGTGTGTACAGAGAGAGAGAGATGGAGACAGAGAGACATAGACAGAGAGAGAAAGTGACGGATTGCTGTGGTTAGATTGATTCTGGAGGAGAAGCCAGAATTAAAAACCAGGATCTGTTCCCACCCAAATTTTACAGCACAGTCCTCTGTCTTCTAGACAGTTCTCATCAAATAATCACCATGTGGAGGTGAGAGTCAAGATCATTAGCCCCAACACTGCCTAGATAGAATGAACACCAGCTGGAAACTTCCAGAAGGCCTGTGGTGATGCATGGGGCTGAATGAACCCCAGTGTGAGTAGCTGTCCATGGACTCGCCATCCTGCGCCTCCGTGGCCATGGTGGCTGTACACTCTATGTTACTAGACAAAGAGCTCTTGGCCACAGTGAATCCTATGGGTCTCCTCCCTGTGACCCAGAGTAATTACAAATATAAAAATTATAAATTATAAAAGTAAGCAGAATACTCAAGTGCTTGCCATATGCTAAATGTTTTGAGCAGATTGTTTTAGATGATTATTTTAAAACACTGTAAAATAGGTATCATGTTATGATGTCCACTTTGCAAATGAGTCAGCAGAAGCACACGGGAGTAGGGTGCAAAGTGGACTCATAGTGAATGCAATCAGTACCAGTAGTCAGTTTCATGAAAATGCCATTTGAAATAAGGAATTATTAAAAGCTGATTTGTGCTTACCTTAAGCAGTTTATTTTCTTTAACACATATGAATGTACTTCAATCTGGCAAGGGCATTTTCATTAGAAATTGCTAATTGGAATTCAGTTCTGTCTTACTGGCATAAACCACACACATAACATATGCTCAACATTTTCTAGTTTCAGTTTCTTTGAAGTGAAATAAACCTGGAGACACTTGTAAAGCAATCAATGCAGAATTCTTCTAGATTTCTTTTTTTTTTTTTCCATAACTTTTGAAGTGTTTTATCCAACACCCAACTGGCTTGGCTCACTGGTATCCAGTCTGTCCAAGCCATTCCTTCCACTTTTCACAGGGGAAGAAAGTACCTATTTTAATATTCAGATTTTATCACCCCTGGTTAAATTATGTGATGGCCACTGGGACTGAAAGCTTTGAGGACTAAGTTGTAGGCAACTCACCTGATAAAAGTAGAAATGTGTGGGTCTCCTGGAGAAATTCCAAGACATACTCATGGTCAAGTGGGGGGTCTCTATCCTCCTCCAGTGAAGCCCAGGGGCTTTGGTGAGCACATTGGTGGCTGTGTGGCTTCCAACTTGTGTCTTGAAAATGGCAAGCTCTTCTGCCTCATTCTCTAGCAACACTGAGTCTGGGAACAACTGCATGTGTTGAAACTAGAGAGATGGCACCTGGAGAGGAAGGAAGGTCCTCAGTGCACAGCCCAGCCTGCACCCCCAGCTGGCCCCTCACCCTTGCCGCCATGTGATGAGCTCCATTGGGAGCAGCTCCTGGGGTCCCAGCTCACCCTACATTATTTTTTTAAAGATTTATTTATTTATGCATGCAAGTGCTGGAGAGCAGGCAGGGAGGGGTGGGTGGTGAGAGCATTCACCAGAGACAGAGTGTGGAGCAGAATGGGCAGATCTACTGAAATACACTGCTGAGGGGAGCAGCAGGGAGACAGGAGACGTCTCCTGCGCCATATGGGTCAGCTCCCTGGCTGGGAATCACACTCGTGCTGCAGTGGCTGCCGATAGCTCCAAAGTGCTGAGACTTAACCCCTTTTGCCACCAGGGAGGCCCTCACCCTACATTATACCATGCAGAATGGTGAACTATCCTCACCCAATTACAAATAAGTCAGCAGGTGGCTTGTTATATCACAAAGCCCTGGAACCAGGTCTATAGGTATGACTGGTAAGTTTCACAGCAGGAACGTTTGAGCTGAGAAACCAGGTGACTTCTCCAAGCTCACGCAAGAGCTTGAGTCCAGGAGCTGACTTCAGAATTACTACATTCCTGAAAAACAAATTTAAGTGCCCCAACTAAACTATATATAGCATTGATGAGATGGTTTGATTTCTTAACTCTGTGCATCCAGACAAGCTTTTAAAATTGATAGGGTCCAAGGCAAGCGTACAAATTAATATCAGGTGACTAATATTTAAAAGTTAAACATCAAGTGAAAAGCTGCCAAATGGAACGTGTTCTCGCCTACTCCGTACAGATACTTCGTGCAATCTGAACGGCCAGGCTGCGCTTGGACGCCATGGCCACACTCCTCTTTCCACCCCTGGATCCTCGCCCCCACCCCACCAGTTTCCTCCCCACTTGAGCGTAAACTCCAGCTGCACCCCAAATTTCATTCCCAAGTCCTCCCCAATCAGCTGCCTGTCGTGCAGCCAGGCACGGGCCATGAGGGGTGATGGTCGGCCCCAAGGGAAGAGCTCGGGACAGAGGCCCAGGAGGGCTCGGGGAGTCAACTGAGCCCCTGGGGCCCCACCCTCGGCCTAGAGCACCATCTAAAAAGAGAGGTGGGCCCCGATGGATGCTGGGTGGGCAAGGATGCTCGACCCAGCTCTGTGCCTTGGGGACCTACAAGACCTCAAATTTGCTAAACTTGTGTCTGTCACTTCACTTTAACGCTCTGTTTCAAACATACTTCGCTACACCCAGAAAAGCCATTATTGGGGACAGAGCTGTGTTGGTTCGCTGGAGCAAGGTGTTTTTGAGCAAGCACACAGGATGCATGCCAGGGAGGGGATGGGCAAGCCCCTGGCAGAGCAGGACCCCCACAGGCTCGTGCCCTCGGGTGAAGTCCACGGAGCCTACACCCTCTGTGCTTCTGTGCACAGCAGCTGATGAAGCATAGCTATTTGGCCAGTCCCTCTCTGGAGCTGCCCTTGGAGGTGTCTGCCCCATGACTGAGGAGCAATATTTACCAAATAACGTCACCCTGTGAGCAAAAGCGAATTTCATAATTTTAAAAAAAATTTAAAGGTTTATTTATTTATGCATACAAGAGCTGGGGTACAGGCCAGAGGTGTGGGGGTGAGCGGATACACCAGAGACAGAGTGGGCAGCAGAACAGGCAGACTGACTGAAACAATGCTGAGGGGAGCAGCGGGGAGACAGGAGAGGTCTGCTTCATAGTGCTGAGATTTAACCCCTTGTGCCACCAGGAAGGCCCCGAATTACATAATTTTGATCTTGGTTGCTAATGGGGTTTCAGACTTTTACTCCAGAGTGATGCTCATGAAGCCGGGAAGGAAGCCAACTCCCGCCCCAGCACCCTGGACTCAGCTCTCACCCATTCAAAGGGCTGGAAGGAGCAGGCAGGATGGAGGAGACTCGCTCTGGCCCCCTGAAGGGAGGTGCAAGGCAGACCCCAGCCCTTTAAGGATGAAACTGTGAGTACTGCCCTGTGTTTTGTCCCGATGGTAACGTTTTCCCCCGGATACAAAAACTGTCCTAGTCTCTTCCCCTACACGTGCTCACCTGACCCCACCAGGGGCAGAGGTCAGGGGGACCCCCCCACCGTGCTGATGAACAATAATGACAACCCAGCTAAGTGTGAGTGTCTGGAGCCAAGGGCTGCCTTGTGCCCTGTGGAATGTTGCACACCGTGATTTATTTCAAAAGAACTACTTGTCCTGAATGTGTCTTCAGAGCTGCCTCTGCTGAACCACAGAACATTCCAAGTCCATCCCCAGTGATGGTGGCCCATGATCACCGGACCCACAAGTCACACACCTTCTAAAGATCTGTGTCACCAGCAAACCCATGCACTTCCTCTTAGTGCTGGTTCTCAAAAAACATATTTGGGTCCCTCCAGAAAACCATCACCCATGGGAGGAGCTGCTGGATCTGAGACAGGTATCTTCATACCATTTTAACCCAAACAGAAAGGACTTGAGTCATAAAGTTGTATAAAAAAAAGTTGACCTGCCATTTTGATTAAACTTACTTCTGCTAGCACCAGAAAAAGACCAATGTAAGTAAAACCCCAGGGCGTTTTAAGTAAAAGTGAAAAGTAAAATTTTCATGCTGCAATTCTGTCAATAAATTTAATATCATTTGGAAGGGGGTCCATGCAGATTCTTCATGAGTGTGGCTAGGGGAATAGAACAGAGTTTACGCATAATTCCCTTAGGGTGTAATTCAAAAGTACATGTAGGATTTTGTTTCCTGTAAGTCTTTCGGATCTAAAGCAAGCAAAAAAAGATTAAACTGTGAGAAATGGATGACTTGCTCTGTCCCTGGAAATTCTTATGATGTTTATATCATCTCTTGGCTTCGGGAGATCCATCTCTGCCTAACTCATCATTGGTATTCTGGCCAGAAATACTGACGACTACACACCCTTGATGGTACTTTTATCTTTAGGAATACTGAGGGACTTCCTTGGATTTGGAACAGTGATTTCTAATTTTTTTTTTTGTATATTTGTGACGATGCCACTTATTTTTTTAAATGTTATTTATTTTGTGTAGAAGAAATGGGGTGTGGGCCAGAGGTATGGGGGAGTGGTGAGAGGATTCACCAGAGAGAGTGGGGAGCAGAGCAGGCACATCTACTGAAGTCCACTGCTGAGGGGAGCAGCAGGCAAGACAGGAGAGGTCTGCTGCGCCATGTGGGTAGCTCCCTGGCCGGGGATTGAACTCATGCTACAGTGGCTGCCTATAGCTTTATAGTGCTGACACTTAACCCCTTGCACCACCAGGGAGGCCCTGATTTCTAATTTTTTCCCTCCATTTTCATGAGAGACTAAAACATAAGAGAATTTTTCCCCCACCCTCAAAGCTGTGTTAGTATTTTTTTTCCTTATGTGAACAACTTTTTATTCTATCATTATTGTTGCTATTTTCCTTGAAAATAATTGTACCGATTATGATTATATACAATTATGTTGAATCCTAAAAGGAGTGGGGGGTAAGGGTTGCAGCCAAGATACGTATGCTAAACCAAAGAATTGCCCACCAAATATGTAAGATTTTTATACTTGTAGTCAGTGGTCTTATATGGCAGAAGGGAATTAAAAGGTAAAAAATTTTAGAGTGAAGAGAAAGCAAGAGTCAACTATATCCTGCTTCTGAGACAGGAACTAAGTGTAAAAATACAGATAATTTAAAAGGAAAAGGATTTGGAAGTCTGCATCATTGCAAGCAATAAGTGTTAGAAAGCAGGTGTCACAAATCAATGTTGCCAGTCAATTTCCATGCCATACATAAATTGGAACATTTCTTAATGAAGAAAAGGTCAATTTACCAAGAAGAAATCATGATCCCATATATTACCCAGAACTTTGAAACACCTGAAATCAAACTCACAAGCTAAACAGAGATGATCCAATCTACAATCCTAGTGGAGGAATTGAGAAAAACATGAACATGTCAACTTAAAAATCTGTAAGTATATAAATTTAAACAATATTGGCCAATTTGTCATACTAGAAATTTCTAAAACACTATAATGCAAGAGTGTTTTTTTTTTAAGAATCAATGAAAATTTCATGATGAATATGTGGTATACCACCATTCCGCCTCCTGTGAAGTGGTAGAAGCTTTCTCATCTCATATCTGAGTCAGACTCATGACCTGATTTGGCCAACAGAGTATGGCAGAATTGAAGCTATGCCACTATGACTCAGTCCTGGCCTTTGTCCCTCTCTTTTGCATTGTTCCTGCTGTTACGCAAAGAAACCACAGCTAACCTCCATTGAAAAATCAAACTCAGACTGGTCCAGAAAAGCTGATGTCTCAGAGGAGTCAAGCCCCAGTCAACCCTCCAAGTGAATACAGCCCTAGGAGTGAGTTCAAAGGAACTAGCAGAAGAACCAACCAGAGACCCAATAAAGTCACAGGAAATAATAATATTCAAGACACTAATGTTTGGGGTGGTTTATTATGAAGCATTTCATCTTTAAGACAGGACAGAGCATGGGCCTCCCTGGTGGTGCACGGTGTTAAAACACAACATATGAAGCTGTCCACAGCCTCTGCAGCATGAGTTTGATCCCCAGCCAAACATGACACCGCAGACCACTCCTGTCTCGCCCGCTGCTCCCCTCAGCAGCACACTTCAGTCAATCTGCCTGTTCTGTTCCCCACTCTGTCTCTGGTGAATCCTCTCACACCCCCACCCCACATACCTCTGGCCTGTACCCCAGCTCTTGTATGCATAAATAAATCTTTTTTTAAAAAGACAGGAAAGAGCATATACTTAGCCTTAAAATCATCTCAAGTTGCAGTACACATCATGGAGTATTATGCAACCATAAGAAAGGATAAAATGCAGCCATGTTCAACAAAATGGAGGGAATTTGAGAGAATCATGGGCAGCAAAATAAAAACAAATGTTGCACATCAGATAGAAGACCAACTGGATGATGTAAAATACTTTCAAAAACCAGTGAACATCAGCAAACCCCTGAGAGCTCTGAGGTTAAGAGGGCGTGAAAGGGGTCCTCCCTGATGGTGCAAGGGGTTGAGTCTCAGCTCTATGAAGCAATCTGTAGCCACTGCAGCATGAGTTCAATCCCTGGCCAGGGAGCTGACCTACACAGTGCAGCAGACCTCTCCTGTCTCCCCGCTGCTCCCCTCAGCAGTGTATTTCAGTGGATCCACCTCTTCTGCTCCCCACTCTGTCTCTGGTGAATCCTCTCACCCACCCACCAACCCCCACACCTCTGGCTTGCACCCCAGTTCTTGTATGTATGAATAAATCAGTCTTTAAAAAAAAATGATCTTTAAAAAAAAAAGAGGGAGTGAAAGGGGTGAGGAGACACAAGGGATGGTAGGAGGAGAAATCATCTCAAACTTCAGTGGGCTTAAATGATAACAAATTTCTTCATTGACTACAACAAATTAAATTATAAATACTTTATCAGTTATAGAAAGATACCTAAAGTATCTACCAATATGTTGAAATCAAGTCCATAATTCTAAATAATTTATGGGCCAAAGAAGAAACCACAAAGTAATTATAAAATCTTTTGAACAGAATAAAGAAAACAATATGTCAAAATACATGGGATTCTGTTGATACAGCACTGAGAGGGAAATTTATTGTTTTAAATGATTAGATGAGAATAAAGGCTCAAAACTCAGATTTTGGATTGTAGATTACAAGCTTCTACTTTAAGATGCTAGACAGAGAAAAATTAAACTCAAATTTAGTGGAATGAAATAAACAGTGCAGCCATTATTTAGAGATACAGACTTGATTGTGTTTGTAGAGAATACAAATAACAACAAAAACCAATTAGAACAATGAGGAAATTTAACAAGACCTACATAGAAAGACCAATATATTTCTATATACTAGCAATAAAGATAAATGTAAGCACCATCTACAAAAACATAAAAATATAAGATAATTAGAGATAATTTTAACAAGAGAAATTTAAAGATCTCCATGTTTAAACTATAAAATATGGCTAAGATAAAGTTGTGAAATCTTAAATGTTTATGTATTGAGAAATTCAATATTGGTACAGCATCTATGTGACCCAAGTTCATCCATAATTTCAAAGTTATTCCACACAAAAACCCAGCAAGATTTTGGGGTGGAGAGGGGGGCAATTAACAAACTGATTCTTCTACATTGTATGTGGAAGTGCAGTGATTCCAGAATAGCCAAATCAATTTTGGAAAAGAAAAAAAAGTTCTCCAGATATACACTAAACTGAAACCTGCAATTCTACTCTTAGGTATGCTTATCCAAGAGAAATATTTAAAACATATGTCCACAGAACAACTTTGTGCAAGAAAGTGTATAGCTATTTTCCTTTGTAATAGTTCCAATCTGGAAATAGACTAAATGTCTGTGAAAAGGACAATGGATATCCCAACTACTGTATATTCATGTGATGGAATACTACACAGCAATGAAAAAAGAATATCATGGTTAGATATTTTGAAAAACAGAAGTCAGACTCAAAGAACACATACTGTAGTATATAGTGTATACATATTTTATATCAGTTCAAGAACATTCAAAATCTCTCAATAGAAATTACAACAGTATTTCCCTTTGAGGGGCCCAGAAATTGATTGAAAAGGAATATAAAGGAATTTCTCGGGTAATGGATATATCTACATCTTGACTGGGAAGTTTGTTGCATAGGTGTATATTTTTGTTGATTTTCATCAACTGAATGCTTAATTTGTATGCATTTTGCTGTATGTACTTTAAAATTAGTTTATAAGAAAAAAACACAGTAGGTCTGCAGGGAGTTTTCAAGGTCAAGGACAAATAAATCCCATAAGGCAGACAGCCCAAAGTCAGGATCTGGATGAGAATCAGACACCAGCATCTGTGAGAGCCCAGGCGGGAAGGATTCTCAGTGGGGAACCTTGGCCAGATTCCCTGGGAACAGCCCCTTACAGCCCTAAATGAGAGCAAGGGTATGTGGGCCAGTGCAGCAGCAGTGAACTCCCAGGTTGACACCCACTGATGGGGTGCAGTGAGCTACTCCCCAAGTCTGCAGTCAGTGATCCTACAAAACAGGATTCTCTGCAAACCAGACAACTTCTCCCCGGTGGTGATGTAATAACCTTTCCTCTTTTCCCTGCAGCTTTCTGAGTGAAAGAGAAGAAAAAGCAGAAAAGCTAAAAATTATTTTTAAAGGCATTTATCCAAAAGATCCAGTCCTTATTTAGAAAACTGTATTCTAAATCAGAAGAGATTGAGTTATCTTAATTGGTGAATCCAAACACTTCGCCATCACCACCCAGCTCCCGCCCTCAATGACAGAAGGGATTCCAAAACTCCACGCCCACAGCTATAAAAATTCAAGCTCCTTTTTGTTTTGCTTTGGAACATTTGGGCTGAAACATATTTTATTCCTGATCCATTCTGGTTTTCAATTTTCAGTCTGGCTGGAGTGCTGGGTCCAGGAGGGATCATGATGATGATGAGGCTGGGGACGTGGGGCGGCAAGGCCTTGGGGAGCCTTTTTCAGGGGGTTGGATTTTATCCTGACAGGGAGGAGGAGGTTTGGTAAATTTTTAAATCAGAGAGCGACATGATTAGATTCGTGGCTTGGAAAAAAACCACTCTGGGAAAAGTATGGGATTTGGTGTGAATGAAACTAGAAACTGGGAAAGTTGGAAAGAGGCTTTGAAGAAAAGTAGACAAGAAACCTTGAGGGTCTCTATTCAGATAGTGATATTGGATTTGGGTGATGAGGCTGAGACATCAAGGAAGTGAATTCATGGGCAGGCAGAATCTAAGACGGGGTTCCCTAGCCTGGCCTCAGCTGCAGGGTGGGTTGTGACAACATTTACTGAGCAAAGAAATAGAGGAGGTTGGAATCTGAGGGGCCTTTGGGAGGAAGTTGACAAGTTTAGCTTTTACCATGTTACTTGGAGAAGCTCATGGAACATTCAGGAAGACACGTTCAAGTCCTGTTGGGGCTTAGGTTCTTAAAACTGAACAGAGACTTTTGGCCTGGATTTGAAGAAAATAAAGAGATTAAAGGACAAAAGCAAATTCTTAGCTGAAAATCCCACAGTGGAGTCAAAGTGAAAACTGGGAGATTTGGTGTTCTGTTTGTAATAGGATTGCTTTCTTTTCTGGAAAAATCAAAACAGAGAAAGAAAATCCAACTACTTATAGAGTTTTGTTTTTAATCTCATAAAAAGCTAAGTAAGAGCTAAGTGGTTCCTGGCACTAAGGTTCAATGATGTCAGAACCATCATCTCTATAAAGTTTCTCCAGCCTGACAATTTCAAGACAAATGTTCATATCCGTTCCACTCAGAGGCACCATACCCACTCAAAGCCAAGGATCCTTTAAACCAAGAAATCAGAAACTTCCCCAGAGCTAACCCACCTGACTTCTGCCTATGTCTCTCTGCCCAGAAGAGTGATACACAGCTCTCCATCGGCAAAAAACTGGAAAAGTGAGTATATGTATGAATCGATGCAGGTATAAGAGGTAAGACATGAGGTAGCAGGAAGTGTATGTTTAAAGTCATTCTAGACTTAAACAACAGTAACAAATACATACAAATAAGGAGTGGATGTTGGATTGGCCAAGCACAGTGTGTGCAGAGTTCAAAGCAACACAAGGGTTAGTGGTGAGGAAAGTTCGGGAAGTCTATGCAAGGGGTTGTGCAGTGCTCAGCACCTTGACCCAAGAGATTTTTAAGACCCTTTATTTCTTGGGATTTAGAGAAAGGGGAAAAAGAGTTGACTTGAGCTTTGTTGTTACATGACACTTAAACAACTAAGTGGATGTCTTGGATTGAAGAGAAAGTAACTTTGATCGGGCGACCAGGGTTTGCATCCAGGTCTGTCTCTCACTAACTAGCTCATCTTCCATAATTAGCCTCTTCGTGGCAGTTTCTCCATCCATAAAATAGAAATAACAAATATCTCAGAGTGCCTCGCACAAAGCAAGGGCTCATTGCCATCAGCTGTTTTCACCTCATCATGCACTCTAAAGGTCTTCAAGCTGGTCATTCTGTTTTACTTATTCTAACAGCAAATTATGTTCAGAGAATCAATCAATTAATATTCCAAAGCTGTGCCTTCTGAAAATGATTTGTCCCCATGATTTTCAAATAAAATTGTATGTTTAAAGTCATTATAGAACTAAACAACAGTAACAAACACGTACAAATAAGAGCCAAGGAAATTTGGTGCATGACATGGTTCCCTTCCACTGCCTCTTGGAAGTCTCCAGCTCACAGGCGTGAGAACTCAGCCATCCACACCCTACTTAGCATCATTCTGCCACCTTCCTCCACACCTACGCTCTGTCTCGAGGTCAGCACGTGGCCTATCTACCCTCCCAATGCCCCTGGAGCACTCCTGCTCACCTCTTTTGTCAGCAACTGCTTCTTCAGGCTCTCAGTTTGGGGGTGACATCCCTTAGGAAACCTTGCCAACCCTCCCAGTCTGAGCTAATTAGGTAATTATCCTCACCACACTTGAACTGAAACAGGACTATAGGTGGCTATAGCCATCCAAGGACAGGGCCCAACAGAGGACACGCCTCTGCCTGTGGGTGCTTCACCCCCCGTGCACAATTGCAAGTCCACTCAGGCTCAGGAACAACAATGGGGGTTACATAACAAACAGGAAGACAGAGTTTCTTAGGCCATAAGTGGCCACCTAGCTCCCCCACTGGAGTGTGTCTGCAGTGTCCAGAAACCCCAAAGGCTGCTCATGCAAGAAAGCACTGCCATGTCAACGAGGGCCTGGAGCTCAGGGCAGCCAGCCGGCACAGGCCAGGGTCCAACTCACCACAGCTGGAGGTACTCCGAGGAGGCCACGGAGATGACGCCGCAGCAGCCCAGCCACAGTCTGGAGGTCGGGACGGACAGCACCGGACGCTGAACCAGACAGCAATGGAAGCGGCAGCACTGGGAGTGCTGCAAGATGATTAACAGCTCTCAGAGGTGACCTGGACACCCACTGCAGGTTCCCTCGTCAACAGTGCTGGGCAGTGCTGGCCAGTGTGCCAGTCACCTGGTCACTAGGAGGTGGTGGTGTCAGAGACACCGTGCCAACAGCGCTGTGTGAGTGGTTGGCCCGCACCAACAACAAACAGCTCTGGGAGACACGAGGCCCGAGGCCTAGCGCTCCTTTGCGGCCAGCCCGGAGGCAGGCCGGAGACGAGCAGCAGCACCCGGCCGCTGCGAAGACTTCGGCTTCTCTGCGAGGCTTTTGGCTTCTTTCCTCCTTCAGAGCTCAGCTGCCAATGCCTCCTCCCTTGGTCCCCGGGGGTCAGGAGCAGCGACCTTCTCAAGCACAGAGGGAGCCTGAGCCGGTGGAGGGGAGTCTCCCTTCCCAGCCCCAGAGAGCGCAGGCGTCCAGGCGAGCAAGCCCCGAGGCCCCAAGCTGGCGTCTCTCCTGCTTTATATCCTCTGTCCGGGTCCTCCCCTCCCCCCATGAGTCTTTTCAATCCTCTGGCTAATTGGACCATTTACCAATCAGCTCACAGTTCGCACCTGATGCGTCCTTTCCACGGCTCCAGGCACCAAGTCCACAGGCCTCTCCACTGCCTGCAGCTGGCCCCGGGCGGCCCCCGGGGCTGCATGCCCTGGGTGATGCGATAGAAACCCCCTGCTGTCCCCCCTCACTACTGGCCTCTGCCAGCCGCCTGAGCCCCAGTGGGGTGGCTGGGAATGGGCACCAAAATGCCCACGACCCGCTGCCGCTTGCACTGCCCGCAGGCTCTGGGGCCAAGCGCCCGAGCCCAAGCAGTGGGTGTGGTCCACTTTCTTTTCCTTAGTCTTCTTTTATTTTTTGGCATTTTAAAAGGTCAGGTTTGCTAGAAAAGGAGAGAGAGAGGCACCTGCATAGACACAGGTGGACAGAGAACTGCTGACTCTGCTGCTGCTTTGAAGGGGTCGGTTTGTTAAGAGACACCCGCATGGACGCCGGCGGCTGTTTGGGGACAGGAGCTGCTGATCCACTTCCTGAGCAGTGACCAGCTTCCTCCTGCACAGAGCAATCTTTCTGTCTCTGTCACCTCTTCCCAGGCCCCTGGTCTGTTGTCACTTCACAGGGGGCCCTTGGACTTGGCACCCCTGGCCTCGGCCCCCAACACCGCTCAGTAACGTGCCCAACAGAAGCACCTGGGCCACCACCCTTTTAACGGTGGCACCAGGGGACATGCCACCTCGTGTTCCTAAGCCTGGATCAGTGCATGAAGAGGGGCAGGCAGAGGACCCAGTTGCTGAGTGCCACCTCCCCCACACCAGTCACCGGTGAGGAGGTGCTTTCTTCCCTGGTGTCCAAATCAACCTTTTGGTTCTTTCATGACATTCTCTGCGATTGCGCAGAGAATCGTGGGCAGAGTGTCCTGCAGGGCATCTCCGGCTTCCATCTACATTGTCCTGGCAGCTTCTGGAAAGGCCTGGCAAGTGCACACCTGGGCAGCTGGATAACGAGCTCAAGGCTCTGTAGCAAGAGCGTCCCCCATGGCCGCTCCTGCCCACAGCCTATCCAGGCCGCAAGACCAAGTCCTGCCAGCTCCTCCGTGACCACTTCCCCAGGGAAACGGGATGCGCCTCAGGACTGGGTCACCCACCATACATATGACCCCCACACACATGACATGTGCTGCTCATCCCCACACCCCCAGGGCATCCCGGCCCTAAGAGGCGGCGCTTGCAGCTGCTCATGCTGCAGGTAACAGGAGCGGCTGTGCAGAGACTGGCTGCATGAGTGTCAGGTTTTATCATTTTGGAAAATTTTTTGAAAAATAATTCACTTAAAATGGTTCTATCTTATTTCCTTACCACAAATGTTTTTGCAATGGAAGGCGTCCTGAGTGTGAATTATAGCGTGCATCGCTGAAAGATAATTGTTCATAACATAATTTGTGTTGCATATTTGAATTTTAATTATTTTTAAGCAGCGAATTCAATTCTGTAAATGTACCCCACTGCTGGAGCATTTGAGTTTCCATGCTCTTCTGTCACGGACAGCATATTTTCCACAGTGGAAATTCTGTCAGATTATATTTCAAGGCTGATGTGGGTCCTGAGTGGGCATCTGAGTATGTGTGGGTGTGTCTGGACTTGGGGCTAATAAGCCAGGGAGGGAAAATAATGGGTGCAGACAAAAGGTACCTGCAAAGGACAAGGAGTTCAGGAAAGAGGGGAGCCCAAGGGAGCCTATTCCTTTCAGTTGACAAATCCAGGGTCTGTTCACCCCAGACATCACCAGTGCAGACAGTGTTAGAGAGGACTCCCTTCCTGGCCCAGTTTTCCAATGAATTGCTGTGAAAATAAAACTGTCTACAGTACTTAGAAGGGTAGACCTGCTCAACGCCGGGGTCCTGATTGTCTAGCCTGAATCTCAAGTCTCTTTATCCAGTAGTTTTATCACAAGGCGCTAGTTAACAGTGCCCACAGTTACTCCATCTACACATGGGCTGCTGAACCTCTCAGGGTAGGTGTCAAACCTGCAGCACAAATGACGGGCTGTTGCTTTGACAGCAGATTTGCAGCCCTGGTGTCTCTGTTAAATAACCTGTGTCCTGGACCTCCCTGGGGGTGCAAGAGGTTCAAGACACAGCACTATCAAGCTATCCGCAGCCACTGCAGCGCAAGTTTGATCCCCCACCAGGGAGCTGACCCACATGGTGCAGCAGACCTCTCCTGTCTTGCCCACTGCGCCCCTCAGCAGTGTTTTTCAGTAGATCTGCCTGTTCTGCTCCCCAACCCCTGTCTCTGCTGAATCCTCTCACCCCCCCCTCCCTTTTCTGGCCTATACCCTAGCTCTTATACACATAAATAAATAAATCTTTTTTTAAAAAAATCTGTGTCCTGAGAGACAGCGACCAGGTTTATTGGACTCCCAACTCCCCAGGAGGGTTGGTGTGCAGAGAATGTCATACTAAATCAAATAGGGTTGGAATAAGAGTGTTGAACCTTCACTTCCCAGATTTGCTCCTCTATAGGGGTTGAATTTTCTTTCTTTCCTACTTCTGTGATTATTTCTTCACATTTCTGCAAATTTTCACACCCTTAACTCATTTGTTGCAGATTTTTAATTGAGAAAATATTTCATGTTCTGGTAAAATTTCCTATGTCGGTGTCACAAAGCTCCCCGTAAACATTCGCTATTCTACTATTGATCATTCCAAGGTCATTTTTAGAAAATATATTGTAAAACACCTTATCTATTATGGTGTAAGCATATAACCTTTGATATCTTCAAATGACTTCAAATGTTCAACTCATGTGTCTGAGGAAAGCCTGCCTCCCTGCCTCCTGGTCTTGTCCATTAAAAGGTGCCAATTATCTCCATTTACAGGATAATAAGGTTGGAAAATTCCCAGGTACCACTATTCAGCCACCTGTTCTTGGGGCGCCAACAGCCTTATTTTTCTTTCCCTCTTTTCATTTAAAAAATGGTGAAAGAGAAATACTTCTTGCCGCCAGTGGATATATTTTCCAAGACTTCATTAGCCAGGTAATAGGATCCGCATTTACATGATTAAGGAGGTGTACAAACATTTACAAAAAGGAAAATCTAGTTAAGGTGGTGCGCAGAGAAATCAGACACTGATAATTGAGCAAAATAATGGCAATAGGTTTATGTAAATGTGGGGCAGTTTCATTATGACATGTAAGATGACTCAACATTTTGGTGAGCTTTTAGAACTGTAAGTTGCAGGGTACCCTGCCTGTGTGAAACGTACTGGAGTAATACTGTTTTATTCCACACACCTTTAGCTTTTTTAAAGCTCTCTGTGCTCTTTCAGAAGCTAGAAAACAAGTCACGATTCCTAGTGAAAGGTGATTTCATCCCAGTAAAATATGTCATGCTAGAGTCTGTCAGCCAGCGTGAGACACGAGGTGGTCCAGGCAGAGCACGGCAGAAACCCCTCCATGCCTGTGCTTGACCGGCCTGCGAGAATCTGCCCACGGCCTTCGAAACTCTTCCCCATTTCAATATGTCTGAAAAACTACACATGGAGCGAAAAGTTTGGTAAAAATATATTTAAAACAAGCAAGAAAAAATAGTTTTGGCCTTAAGGATAACTTTCATCATTCTTTTAACCAAGTAGAGTCAAATTATACGTATAATGATTTCAAGTACCAACTTATAAAAGATGTGATCAATCAGAAAACAAAGAACAAGAAGACTCTTTTTTTGTCAGAAAAATGTATTTGCAATTCAAATGTTCATATAAAAAGCATAAATTTTAAAAAGTTCATAGATGTGTGTTTTTAGAAGTGCTATGGGTTTCGCCATTCATTGCAATTACATTCCAGAATGCGTGGAGGGGTGGGGGCGGCCCACCCTGCCCGTCTTACGCTTTTGTCACACTGAAGTCACTCTCATCACCACCTCCCCGGAGCTGTTGTCTTCTGACAAGTCTTCGTGTGTCCGCATCCGGTTGAACAGATGTAACAACATGTAGCCGCACTGAAACCGCGGGGAGGTGAGCTGCGTGGGGTGCACCAAGTTCCTGTTCCGCAGCGCCGTCAGCGGCAGCCATAAAGTCCTGCTTGTAGAAGACTCCCCCCGGCTACTTTCTTCAATGTCGGTGGCTTTGTCGTAATTTAACACGTCCCAGTGCAAATTAACGGCTCGCCAGCGTTTAAAGACTCTGTACACGGCGGCTCCTTCGTGCACAATGAGACCTACGATAGAGGGGAGACAAAGATTGCTGGGGAATTTATTTTGTCGATAAGCAAGGGGTGAAAGAAATAATCAATGCTCTGTACCTTATAATAAAAAATAGAGCATCATAAGATGTCACCGCTGGTGGCAAGTGGTTGCCCATATTACAATCAATATTCAAAGAGTAAGAAGCACAAACATGCAGAGGAAAGTCATCATGGAGGTAACGACCTCGCTCCCTCCTGGCTCAGAATGACAAGGTCAGGCATGTGCATTGCTTTAGGAGAATAATTATGTTTATTTATTCACTCAGCACGTTTCCTGGGTGCCCACTATACGCCAGGCAATGAGTTGGGGCCTTGGTCCCAGCTGGCAACTTAATTTGGGAAAGAGACATTAAAGTCACTGCCACCTCCCCAGTTCCTAAAACCACACCTGACACGCTCCTCCACTCGTCAGTAACAACTTGATTTTGCGCCCCCGGGAGAGCTCTCTGTGTATTACCTCACTTAGCCCCCTCCTCGGCCTATGCAACCAACAAGCCCCACGGCACAAACTGGGAACCTGCTCAGAGCGGACAACTGCACTGGTGGGGGAGCCTGGACTCGACCCAGGCAGCCTCTGAGGCCTTGACACAGTGAAAAGGATGACCCCACATGTCAGGGACACTCGCAATACAAGCAACTCAGGGACTAAGCTGGCGCCTGACCCACGGCTTCCTCTCCTCCCCCCTCCCAGTGTGTTGTCCAAAGCTTTTGACTTTGTGACGCTCTCCCTCACTCACACACACCAAGGAGCACTGGGGTGAGGCCCCTGCAGAGAGAGAAGTGAGGAGAAACTCCTTTCTTTCAGGGGTTCAATCCCATTGGAAGTCAGCGGTGGAATATTGAGGTTTTTACAGATGGGACGTCACAGGTGAGGTGACACACACACTTTCTAGTGATAAATTTGAAAACGAGCAAATATCTTCTCCCAGCCTGTAGACCCCTGGGTACAGGCTCCAGAGAAACTCATAACTGCGAACAAAGAAGCATGTTCCAAGAATGCTAATTGCGTAATGGCTTGTATTTGAGGGAAAATGTTCATCTCAATGTCCACCCTGAGGAGAACGGGTCCTCGGGGCTGCTAGGAGGGGACAGAGGTGCGGGCGCTGGCAGGGACAGCTGACACACGAGTGGAAATCTCTGAGTCACCAGGGGGAGAAAAGAAAGGTTCATAAATGATCAGAAATACGGCACATTTTTATGGGCACAAATATACATAGGGTAAAAGTATGAAAACATGTTGAATAATAATTGTGACATTTACAAAAGGGGGGCAGGAAATGAGATCAGGAGGCTTCCAGTGGGTTGTCCTCGGTCTCCCCAAAGGGTGACCTTGTTTTTTAAGCTGGGAGGTGGGTCTAGAAATACCTAACATCATTCTGTATAATTTTTGTGTGTCTGAATAATTCAGAATTTCAAAAAGTACAGAGAATTCATCAGGAAAATGGACGTAGGGAATAGACAACAAAGTCAGGAGCACAGGGAGATGGTGACCGTGAGTGAGTTGAGTGGTGGCAGGAAGGCGGCACAGGGACAAAGGCAGAAACTTGCTAGAGAAAATGTCAACAGAAATTGTAGTGCCAGAAGGGAAAGTTAGAGGCCCGCAGTTTAAGGCTGGAGGATTAGAAGACTGGGCGGGCAGCCGTAGCCTTCCCATAGGTGCCAGGAGCAAGGGTTTTGAACATGCTATGTTGGGAAGATGATTTCATTTTTCTGTCAGCTAAAGCACAGTCAGATAGGTGATCCAGATACCCAGTCCTGGGAAAATCACCCCTCTACCAGGAGATAAACCTCTGAATAGCATCCCAAACACATTTTTACAGGTCACTAAATGATGCGTGTGGTCTAATAAATAAAAACATCTTAAGCCCAGTCATTGCACACCAAAAAAGAGATGTAAAAATTCCATTAAAAATAGCCATTCCAGGGCCTCCCTGGTGGCGCAAGGGGTTAAGACAACCTATGAAGCTGTCCGCAGCCTCTGCAGCATGAGTTCGATCCGATCCCCAGCCAGCCAGGGAGCAACCCACATGGCGCAGCAGATCTCTCCTGACTCGCCCGCTGCTCCCCTCAGCAGTGTATTTCGGTAGATCCACCTGTTCTGTTCCCTGCTCTGTCTCTGGTGAATTCTCTCACCACCCCCACCTTTGACCTATACCCCAGCTCTTGTATGCATAAATACATAAACCTTAAAAAAAGTAGCCATTCCAAATAATCATTTTGGTCAACCTCTTTTTCCTCAGGAATAACTGGAGTTGACCCAACTGGCTAGATGTTTTTGGGAAACAGCCAGAATTAGAAGTCAGGACTACCAGATTTTCATTGATGATTCTATTATTAATTTCTGAAATCCCCATGGTCGATGATTTACCTCTCCTGCTCTATTTTTTCTCTTTAAAATGCAATTGGAATACCTAATCTACAGGCTAGATTATAGCAGGAGAGTATGAAGGACAGGGTGAAGACCAATTGGTATTCAGCAACAATAAAGCACTCAGATTTCCTCAGAGATGGTGAATCTACATGGAGAAGACCATTCATTCACACTACTCCCCAAACCATTACAACCTGAGACAGACCCACTCTGGGCCAGCGCAGAGACAAGCAGACGCTTTCTCTGGGGGAACCACACATCTCACAGGAACCAATTTTTTTTTTTTTTATTGATTTCCTTTGAAAGGCCAGAAATCAGATCACTTACTGCAGCTTAAAGCCACTTTCTGGAAATGCATGCCTGGCAGCTCTCTTCTAAATACATAAATCTACCCAATGTGTGAAATCAACCCCACAGGTCTTTATAGTGCATTTTGAGCTGGATTTAAATTAAAAAGAGAGCTCCCTACAGTTCTCATGCAGACCCATTCCTCTTGAACACCGAGCTCCAGAAGCAGCCCCAGCATCTCAATGCATTTCAGGTTATGATGCTCAGATTTTGTTTCATTCCCCATGAGCTTGCAGAATTGCTCCTTACTCTTAGGTGCTGAAATTTTCCCAATATTTGAGGAACCCAGCCTTAAGGTCATCCTCGGTAATGTACACTTGCCCCCTTTCTTCCTTAAATTTTCTGGAGTTAGGGCAAGTGCGTTTCAGATGGTGAAATTTTCTGGAGTTAGGGCAAGTGCGTTTCAGATGGTGGCTATGAGAAGACAAGACCACAGTCCCAGAATCCCTGGGCTAAGGCTCCAGTCCCCTCCAGCTCACATGCCGGAGATGAGCCTTTAAATGTCCGGGGCCTCCCTGGTGGCCTGAGGGTTAAGTCTCAGCACTATCAAGCTATCACCAGCCACTGCAGCATGAGTTCGATCCCCAGCCAGGGAGGTGACCCACATGGCACAGCAGTCCTCTCCTGCCTCGCCTGCTGCTCCCCTCAGCAGTGCATTTCAGTAGATCCATCTGTTCTACTCCCCACTCTGTCTCTGGTGAATCCTCTCACCCCCCACACCTCTGGTCTGTACTCCAATTCTTGTATGAATTAATTAATTAATTGATTAATTAATGTCTTCCTACCCTCCTTCCTCACTGGGGGTGGGACCCCTTCACAGCGAAGCTCACTTCCTCCAGGAGGGGGCGCTCCACCACCTGAGCAATCGCAGGCTAAGCCTCAAAGGGAATTAGTAATCCTGGCACTTCAGGTCACGTGAGAACAGAATTGCATTTGCCTTTCCACTGGAGTCACTAAGCAGGAAGGGAAAGGCAACGGCCATTTCTACAGAATGTAAATATTAGCTATTAGGATGCTGGCCACAGTGTTGATGGCTTGGTTGTCAATAAGGTGATTAATGGGAATTGAGGGTTTTGAAAGTGGGAGGGAGAGAGAGAGAGAGAGAGAGAGAGAGAGAGAGAGTTTGTGTTTCTTACTAGCAAATATTTAATGGGTGTCTCTCTTTACTGGTGTGCAAAGGAACATTTCTGCTAGGGAATAATTTTTTAAAAACAAAGCAGGCTTAAATAGTTACTGCTTTGACTGAAATAAAAGCAGTGCTTATATAAGGAAAACACATCCCAAATTTTGAAGTGCGATATTAGTTGAAAGTCTTACATGGTAGTAGAAGATGAGCTAATCACCCAAAGAAATGATGGGAAGACTGTGAAGGTGCAAACAATCACACGTGGGTGAGTACACACCACACCCCCCACCACATACCACACACATCATGTATACACCACGCATGCACGCCACCCTCCCCACACATACCACACACATATATCACACACATCACACACATACCACATTCACACCACACACACTATATATACACCCTCCTCACACACACCACACTCACCCTACACCATTTATCTATGTTTATTTTAAAACAGACAAATGGTGTATTGTAATTAACAGAATCATGCAAAATTTATGATCAAATACAAGTAAATTTTGCTGTTAGCTACCAAAGAACTGGCAAAACACCTTCATTTCCCGTGTTACCAGTCTCAGCTTTTGTTCAAATAGGTTTCAGTTTTTCACAACTTAAAAACTAAATGTTTATCCAGCACTGAGGACTTTACATGTGTGACTTTCATTTCATTTGACAGTAACACTGCAAATAAATACTGTTACTGAACAATTTCACAGAAATTGGTTGAGGAAATTGAGGCCTACGGAGATTTGACATCCTGTCCAATCTCAGGAAGGTGTAAGAATCAGAGCTGAGGGTGTAGCTCAAATGTGTCCAGATGTAAACTTTCTTGAATTTTACAGTCCTAGCCATGCTAGATTCCCAACATACAGAGGTGAGGCCTTCGGGAGGTAACTAGAATTATATTAAGCAATAAGACTCAGGCTCTCGTGATGGCGTTAATGCACTTAAGAGAAACAGACAATTTCTCTCTCTGTGCACACGAAGGAAAGGCCATGTGAAGACATAACAAGGAGATGCTATAAACCAAGAGAGATGACACTGAATCTGCCAGCACCTTGACCTTGGACTTCCCACTGCCAAAACTATAAGAAATGAAGGATTGCTATTTAGGAT